AACCACAAACACGAGACTCATTTCCTCTTAAAACATTTGCTGACCGACCCAAGCACTTGCAAATGCAGAGAGACCAAAGGGAGCTTGTCTGCAAAGATCAGCATGCAGTGACCAGAATATGACAACAGCAACAAAGTTTCTGATCACAATAAAACCAAGCAAGCCAACGTTTTTTAAATGCACATGTTCAAAATATATTTTTAATGGAAAAAGACAATATTTTAAAATGCACAGGGTTGCAGCTATGGCCATACTATACAAGGAAATGCATAGCATTTAATACATATTTAAAAGGACAAAGGTCCCATATATATGAAAAGACCAGGTGGTGGTGATACACACCTTTAATCCCAGCATTTGGGAATCAAAAGCAGGTGTATCTCTGAGTTAGAGGCCAGCCTGGTCTATAGAGTTCAAGAAAGCCAGAGCTACAGAGAGAAACCCTGTCTCAGGATAGATAGATAGATAGATAGATAGATAGATAGATAGATAGATAGATAGATAGATAGATAGATAGATAGACAGACAGGTAGATGATAGGAATAACACCAACAAAAAGAGAAAAAAGAAAAGGAAATCACACTAATTAAAAAAAAGACAAATAATAAAGATAAGACATAAATCATTGGAACAGAAAACAAAGGCTTAAGGAAATTCAATCAGACCTACACTTGATGCTTTAAAAAGATCAATGAAATCAGTATACCTCTACAAAAGGCATAACTGTGATTATTAACAATAAAAAGAAAGCATCACATTTCGGGCTCATAAAACAACAGATGAATTCCTTCAAAGATACCAACCAAACACAAAAGTAGCCTGCGGAGTCTGCGTATTTGATACTAGATAGCAACACCAGGGCATCTGGAATGTAGAAAAGTGACCAACCAATGAGCCCATCCAAGGTAAAGCTATGACTCAGTATCTTATAACAACAAAAGTTTAAACATAAACAACAGTCTCAAAGCTTAGATGATTTTATTGCTAATCCTATCAAACATTTAGGAAAGTAAAAACAATTGCATACTCATCCAAAACAGTAGGAATGGGGACTGTCACAAACAATTTCCAACGGAGAGTGACAGGAAGAGAAAAATGGAGCAATAACCCTGGTGAGCACTCGTGTAGGCTGCCTAATAGAATTTCAACAAATCATATCAGCAATGTTTTAAAAGACCAATAGAGCATGATTAATTGGAAATTGGTCCCTGGATGCTATAATAATTTATCATATAAAAAATTAGTCAATTATTTCACCTTGTTAGTGAGTTAAAAATCAAGGCTGTGTCAGCATCTCACCAGATACAACCATGTGACTAAATCTATACTAAATTAAATAAAAAAATACTCAAAAGTCAATGTCTTTTATTATCAGTTCTATTCAATATTGTACCAAACAGCAAAAGTTCATGAAGAAAGAAAGAAACAAAAATTACACAGATTGGAAAGAAAGACTACCCTACCACAAATTAGTGAATATCTGGATAAAATATATTAGCATATACTTAGAATAATCTCTAGCAATCCCAATCCTGGGATTTACCCAAGAGAAATAAAAACACATGTAAACACAAGGTCTTGTAACTAGAACACTCAAAACTGTCTCAAGCTAAAACACTGTAAAGTCTATTATCATCAGGTGAACGATTACACAAATTCTGGCAGAGTTATAAAACAATTTAATTGTTAACATAAAAGAATGAGCTACTATATAAGCAATAATAGAACTACTTAAAAAGAATTATGAAAGACACAAGCCACAAAAGTACACATGACTTTACATAATTTTCATTAAAGTCCAGAATTAATAAGAAGTGGCCAAAAGCTGTGAAGGGTTGGATAGAATGTGGGGGCTACATGAGTACACACAGTTTTCCTTGTGCGTATTTACACTTTCATCATGAACTGCAGGGGACAATCTAAACCTGTCTGCTTATCACATTCCAGTGTTAATAGACTGTGTGGTCTCAGAATTCTGGAGTTTTTTTTTTTTTTTTCCCTTTTCCCCACTACGGTGAGTAAACTCCAAGACAAAGCAAGAGTTTATTTCCCCAAATGCCCAAATCATTCAAAACAACCTAAAGGCCTTGCAGGCTTTCTAAGAAATTAATTCTTTAAAGTTTTGTACAATGTGTTTTGATCATATTGACTTCCCCTCCAGCAATTCTTCCCAGATCCACCCACCAGTTCCCTACCCATCACATGGCTTCACAACAACTGCAAGCAAATGTGGAAATTATTACTGTATGTAAACTATAACTAAGGAAAAGACCAGGAGTGAGAAGCTTTGTTTGTTACCTTCACTGCTTTATGAGAGGAATGAATTAAAAATGACAGATCAAGCAAGGAAGTGGAGTGAGCACTCAGGGCGGACTGCAATGACGCAGAAGGGGGCTCTGGGACACCTATGCAGGTGACAGTAGGCCACAAAGAAAGCAGCAGCTGAAGCATTATTTTGAAAGCTTCAACTGGAATTGATATGTGAGAGTAAAAGAAAAAAAATATGGTTGAAGGGTGAATGTAAGAAAAACTGATTTTAGTAGAAAAGGAAAACTTTTGGTTTGGGTTTGTTCAGTATGATAAGGTTGTTGAGATGTCTATAAAACATTCATACAAAATGCGTACAATGAGGATCTAACAAAGCTCAGAGTTTTCATTCAGGTACATTTAAATGAAGAAACAGCCAAGAGATAAAAGACCTCAGAACCAAGACCTAGGAAAATTCACATTTATGAATGAAGTAATCCATAAGGAAACTAAATTCAAATCAAAGTAAAATAAAACAAACCAATCAAACAAATGAATAAAAATCTTAAGAAGCAGGAGCTAGAGAAATAATTAAAAAAAAAAAAAACTTAGAGTGGTATCCTGGAACCTACGAGAAAAGATTGGTCAGTTGTCAACTGCTAAGTGAGGGGATGTGTGGAAGGCAGGTTCTACTGTGGGCTGGAATATGCACAAGGCAAGGAGACAGAAAGCACATGATGCTATCCCTTTGAGAAAGCAGGATTGTGAAACCTTGAGCAGGAAACACAGCAGGAGTCAGAAGAGTGTTTGGAAAAAAGAAGGCTTTGGGAATGTCCTCCTTTTAGGACAGGTGACATAGGAGCACCTTCTCAGACTCCCAAACACGACCCAGTATAGAAAAATTAGTAATAATCTTATAAAGGGAACAATTAGTATTTACGTTTCCTGTAAGAGTTAAAGGCTGTATTTCTTTAAGGCTTTTATTGTACTTAATTATTTTATTACTCAAAGAGTATATAGGGAAATGGACAGCCTTCTTCTCATTTTGCTTCTCTCCTTCTCTTCTCTGCCTCTCACCTTTTCCATTTCACTACTGGGGTTGAAATCAAATATTTTCTAAGCATGCATTCTATCCATGAAATACTTTACTAGCCCTTTGGAATTTAGACAGCTGCCAAGTTGTCTGAGCTGATTTTCTGGAACTTACTATGTATTACAGGCAGGCCTCTACTTTGTCATCTTTCTGCCTCAAACCCCAGGCCAGCCACTTATTTATTTAGGAAAGGGCAGGAGGGAGGGTTGGAGTCTAGATTGCAAGTAAATGGTACAACCCTGAAGTCAGCAGTTATGTGTGGCTAGAATTGGACCAGAGATGACTTCCTTAACAGGTCAGTTAGGCAGCAATATTCTGAAGTTGGTCATAGGAATCAGAGCCAGTTATGCTGTAGTTTTCTAAGTACTCAATTAGTTTAAATTTCATTCTACTTAATATACTTTTAGTGATTTATGTTATCTTTAACTGACTTGACAGATATTATAACCAAAGTCTAATGGGTAAGAATCCCAAAACCCAAAGGCTAAATTCAGCCTTTCACAACAAACAACCTGACACCTAACAACCATGTGCTTTTCTAAGTAGTAGAAATGAGAGTGCTTATGTTAGAACAGCAATGAGACAGTATTGTGAGGTAGGGCATTTGAGAACTAAGTTGGAAGAGCTATTAATCTTACCAATAGACTAATGTTCTTATAAGAAAAGGTTAAAAGAACTATGTTCTGTAGCTTTTGCCTCCCAACTCACACATCCCCTCCTGTAGACTCAAGAAGCAAAGGAAATTCACAGGGCTCAGATGTCTCCTGAAACTTACAGGATTCATAAAACTCCTCTGGAAGATAATAAAATCAGTAATGACTATTTGGGAGACTGGATGCTCCAACATGCAAAGCTACCCACAAGTTACGGACAGAGCTTCAGGGATGCGTGTGGCTTTCAAGAGTTATCACCCATTCCAGCGTGGGACTTTGATGATGCAGCTGCAATTGAGTCACCCAAGCTCCTATAATAATACTTTACCCACATTCCTACAAGTAACCCAAATATAGCCCACTAGGTGAGCATTGGGTGAACTGTTTCTTTGGTCTGCTGTTGCTGCCCTATCTGGAGTGAATAGATGTTTGCTATTTCTCCCCAGGAAAAGTCACACACTGCCACCTTCTTACCTTTCCAGTTTTGCAGTGATTTCTTGAGGGTGTGACCCTTATCCCACTGAAAAAGCTATACAACAAAATGTTTTGTTCCCATTTCTACAACGTGAGAGATCACGCAGCAAGATGATGCAATCTCTGAGGAAAAAGGTTTCCAATGCTGTGGGTTGGATATGGTTTGTCCCCTGAAATGTCATGGGTTGGAAGCTCAGACCTCAGTATGTTCAACGGCATTGGATCTCTAAGATGTAGAGGCTAATGGAAGACTGCTTGGTCACAGAGTACCTCCATCATAAGTGATTAATGTAGTTTTCATGGACAGTAGACAAATATAAAGCAATGCCCTTGGTCCCTTCTCCAAACAACTACTTCCCTTTCTACTTCCCAGCCACGTTTAAGCCAGGGATCATTCACCTATTACATAGTAATGTTTAGACTTTTTATCATCAGAGTGAAATGCCATATAAGTCTCTTTTCATATAAAGGACTTGGTAAGTACTGAGCTAGGATTCTGTGATACTAACACAAAACAGGTGTGAAACACTTACCAGACACTGAGTCGGGAGGCCCCTTCATCTTGGACTTCCCAGCTTCCAGAACTGTGAAAAAAAAAAATTTTAATACTTATAAATTACTGACTCTGTGATACTTCATTAAGTCAAGAGGTTAGCAAAATTTTAAGTGTAGAAATGCTTAACTTCAGATGCAAAGCAGGATATTTTTCAAAAAGCAACCAGAAATAAAACTATTTAAATTGGTTCCATCAAAGGTGGAGGTTTTATTACCAAAAGATAATGCAACAAACAAACAAACATATACACACATCGGAGTGTGAAAAGTTGTCTACATACGTATAATTGAAAAGCATCTCATATATAAGATTATTCATAAATAGTGAAATAGAGTGACTCATTAGAAATATGACCAAAGCCCTAAACAGGCACTGAAAATAAGTGCTGAAAGCTAAAAAAATCTCACAAAAAACTAAAGCCACCTCAAAGAAGCACTACTTTACTGGCAAAAACACCTGACATCTGACAGTGCCAGATGCTGCGTAGGTCAGGGTTATAAAACAAGACTGCAGAGAAGGATATATAATGGGTACCAGAAGTGTGTGCTCCCATACATCAGCATCTATACACAATGATGCCCCTAATGGCAGTATTTATCACCGACAAGAACTGGAATTCTTTATTTTTCTTTTATTTGTTTGTTTGTTTGTGTTTTGAGGTATGGTTTCTTTGTGTAGTTCCTGTCCTGGAACTTGTTCTATAAACCAGAGATCTGCCTGCCTCTACCTCCTGAACGCTGAGATTTAAGGCCAAATGTCTCTGGAGCCTTGTTTCTTACCCCATTTCCAGTACTCCCTGGGCCCTCACTTTCATATGGATAAATGTAAACATCCGACTATAAAAATGAATAAATTTTAGGTCATCGTCACACTGATGCCACACGCACTAACACAAGTGTCATCTGAGAGCACTGCCACTACACCCAACCATTCTTATCAGTCAGGGTAAGAAAAGTGTGCGGTGGTGGCACACGTCTTTATTCCCCACAAGGACCGCTGTGAGTTTCACACCAGACTAGTCTCCAGAGTGAGTTCCAGGACAGCTAGGGCTACACAGAGAAACTGATTGGGGGTTGGGAGGGAGAAGCAGAGTGAGAAAATTAATGGCTACAATTTACAAACCATCAACTATGTGCTGCTCATTACTTCATTTATAACAATATTGAAAGCAGCTGTTACTCTTGCCTTATACACGAGGCAACTGAACCTTAAGAAAAAGTAAGTTGGGGCTGGAGAGATGGCTCAGAGGTTAAGAGCACTGGCTGCTCTTCCAGAGGTCCTGAGTTCAATTCCTAGCAACCACATGGTGGCTCACAATCATCTCTAATAAGATCTGGCGCTCTCTAGAACACTGTACACATAATAAATAAATTAAAAAAAAAAAGGAAGGAAGAAAAAGTAACGTAAGTCATGGAGCCAAAAGGTGGACAAACCAAGGTTTGATCTTTTGGTGCCCTTGCTTTTAATCATTACATTATTCTGCATAAATTCTTATGCACATCATATTTAGTTCTAAATGTTCTGTCACGGACTACTCCCTCGCTTGGGGTCCTTCTTTTCTCTCTCTCTTTACAAGCCAGCTTTCCTTCCTTCCTAATAGAACTCCATTTTATTCAAGGCTGTAATATGGTCTGTTAAAACCCATACTTCCTGTCCTTTGAAGCCAAGACTATCACTCACATAATTCTGATTTAAGAGATCAAATGGAAATCTCTAGGTGGGGTTTCTGGGGGAAAGCACTCATTCTATTGACAAGAAACCCTGGCTTACCTCCTCCCCCTGGCCTCCTCTGAAGAGCTGTTCTACACATACCATCCCTCATGAAGCTTTGAGGTACAATGTGAGAAGAAAAGCCTCCCACTACAGGAGACAGGTTTAAAACCTGGAGCCTCAGGATCTTATGACATTCCTGGTGCCCATCTGTGAGTAGTATATTTCCCATGATTTCCTGTCATAGTTAATCATTGCTATATCTAACATATATCCTGTTAGCACTGAGACCTTAATCGCCTTGCCATTTCCTCAGTGTACACTGACCCGGCACACATTTGCAGAGAATAGCAATAATGATATACACATTAATTTTAAAGATAAGCATGCCTACTGTAGCCTTAACCATAGCAGTCTTTACAGATTCTGCCTGTGATTTACCATTTGAAGGAATCTATCTCCAACAAGGACACCCACTGCCTACAGAAAACCAGCAGAATATGGCACAAATTAACTATTACTTAAATTTCTTAAAGATTTATCACGGTATTAGGTCAAATATCCAAAAATCTCAAACAAATACACTATAATGTTGATTTATTCAATCATGTTAAATGTCATTCTCTCAGCTTTAACTTGGAGCCAATATGTAGGTAAGGATGTGACTATCTGTAACCCTGGTATGGTGTGCATCAATTGCTGTTCTATACAAAGGCTGCAATGACAAGTACCTGCCACACTCAGGGCAGAGAACAGGTAGTTTGGCTTTGCTTCAATTCCTGACCAACAAATATCCTTATAGGCACTTGGATGAGTGAGCTGAGTCCTCCTGTTGGCTTGCCTCTTATTCATTACAGTTTTTGTTTCATACCCATGGCTTGTTAGATGTGATGGCTCATGCCAGGAATCCCAGTACTTAAACCAAGGTGAAGGAGTCTAGGCTACATCATTAACGTCATTAGACAATGTTGTAAAAAAAATCTTCAGGGAAGAGCTTTTCATGTTTTAGAGTCCATCTTTTAATGCCTTAGTTAACTGTCCTTATTTAATGCACATAATTTATGCAATACATTTGTTCAAAATTATTTTTTAGGAACAGGTGGTGCTTTCTTTTTTTTAAAAAAAATCATTCTTTATGAGAAAAGAAGTATTTTTCTTTTCACAAAATCAATAAAACCCATATGCTGATAGCCCTAACTATTCTTACTGCCATATCAAATATGGCAATAAAACCAAAGGTACGTTCTAGAGAGCAATGTTCCATGGGTGCTAAACGTCCACAAATGTTATTGCTGCATATGCCAAGAGGGCAGGCCTTGACACTCCTGAACCTACTGCATCATTGATCCACAATGCTGACCTGGACTTACTACAGAGGACACCTGTGCCACACAAAGCTCTTGCAGTTTACTGTGCCTCTGCGCAGGAGTCTCACATGATCTGTCAGTACCCACGATAGCAATAGCCTAATTTAGGAATGAGTATAATTTCAGACCTAGGGAAGGAATTGATTCAACAGAAAACAATTGGGCATCGTTGAAGGTCTGAAAGCAAACTCAACATAGACTCCTCAGATCATAAAGGGATTCCTATAAGCACTACCATCAGTTAAGACCATAGGAAATTAAACTTTAGATTAACTTTTTAAAAAGAAGAATGAAAGATTTCTTGAGGTTTTTTAGTATTTTATAGATGGAAGTTCTGTTTTATTGTTCTCTATAGATCAAACTATTGAGGTCAACTGTTACATGATACATGTTAGACCCCTTGTTACTCCGTGATTTTACCTTTAAATGGAAAAACATTATCAGATAATACATAGGCCAAAAACAATGAACCAAGTAAGACAGGAAAACAGAATTGACGAAATCATATTAAGAAGGAGTCTTCTCAGGCATCTTTGTGTTTGAAGACAAGAAAAAAATCGATCGGTACATACATGTACTTAGCCATGCTGGAGTTGAAGGAAAGGCCTTGTGAACATTAAGCATGATCTCTACCTCTAAGATATAGTACCCAATCTAAAACACTTCATTTTAAATATGAAGTAAAATATTATAAATGTTAAAAAACAAAGAATAATTAGCATCAAGGACATCTCTGTTTCTTTCCTCTTTCTTATGCCTATGATTCTACATTTACCAACATATTGGTTATATGGTTATCAAGAAATAAGACAACACTCTCTGGGAAGAGTTACAAGTGTGCAACCAGGATTAAGCAATGCTTTCCCAGAGTAAAATCCAGGAAAAGCAAAAAGATTACACATTTAACCCAGAGAGCATTCAACAAGTCAAGAGAACAACATGCTATTCATAGCTCAAGGTTACAAATACAAAACCCTGCAATAACTGTGCTCTAAAATCGAAATTAAAAAGATATTCACCACATGGGTTGACCGTAGAGCTCAGTGAAGCGGCTCCCACGCAAAGGCCGCTTTTGGAAACTGCTGAAGCCACAGAAGGAGCAGATGATGTTGCTGTAGCAGAGGAGGCTGGTGAGGATGGCAGCCGCTCTCCAGACTCCATGTCTACAACAGAAGGAAAACGCTCCATTAGTCACAACTACTCAAAAAATTAGACATGTTAGTGCATTTTGCTTATTTTTTAAGTATAAGGTAAAACATGGACAAAATACTCCTATGGCTTGAAAATAGAGTAACCCTGCCCAAACTCATATAGCTTGAGTGCTCAGTGTGAGCAGAAGAGATAGAGCCTTTCCCATGGGGCTGGGCAGCACCAGGATGATTCTCCCATCCATGTTTTGTGAAGTGGGTAGCTTTGCATGGAGGACACCTTACATGGCAAGCTGCTCAGACTGCCTATCTACTTCTCAAGCTTCAGAACTCCTATAAATCATTCTGTCCTAGATGCTGTTGTAGTAATAGAAAGTGAAAGAAGATGGACACTAGGAAGCAAGTTATTTCATGTTTGAAATGGGGCTGTGCTCAAGCTCAAATATTCCCACAGCTGGGACTACAAGTGTGTGTCCCTGCAACTCATCTGGAAACAAATTCCTTTAATGAATCACACAGTTTGTGTGTCTAAAATTAGCCTAATTTTATACAACTGTGTAAGGCCATCAACTTGGGAAAATTAATTTTATATTCATATTCTTTTCAGAGTTCTTCATAATCTCAAGTGCAACCAAATTCTGTATTATCATAAAGCAGCAGTTCTCAACCTGGGGATCAAATGTCAGATATTTATGATTCATAACAGTAGCACAGTTACAGTTATGAAGTAGCAACAAAACATGAGGAACTGTATTAAAGGGTCGCAGCATTAGGAAGGGTGAGACCCACTGTAGTAAAGGATGAAGGCATCACAGACTGAGTGTGGAAGCTACTTGGGAGGCTGAGGGGGAAGGTCCACTAGTGAAAGGCAAATTTGAACAGGGAAATCCCTTTTTAAAAGAAAGGAAAGGCGAGTAGGAGAAGAAGATAGAAAGGAGGGAGAGAGTAAGAGCAGAAAGAAAACACCAATTTGAACAAAGTGTATCTTTATCCTCTAAATCTAGATAGATGCATATTTGTATGTCTTACATTCAGGATGCCTCAGTCATTTCCAGTGTAATAAGCCTTCCTTATTACCCTGGGGGGGGTAGGGGGAGAGAGAAAGAGATGCAGAAACTGAGACACACAGAGAGACATCAAAGACAGAGACACAGAGAGAAAGACAGACAGATCCTGTTTAGAGTTTTATCACAGCCAAGTTCCCATTATGATTTCAAAATAGCCTTAGTGTGCCATGTTTATGATGAATGACCAAATCACTTCTTAGTATCTGTATTAATGTACTTGGCTGCTGTAGTTTCAATCTTTCATAGGTTTCATTTTCATTGTGATGTGATATACAAATTTGAGGACCTAACGTACTATGGTCACTTAAATGCATGTATTGATCTCACAATTAAGCAAAGAAATCACAAAGTTTATCATGCTTTAAGAAGTACAAGTTACAAGAAAAAAGAAAGACAGTGCTCATCTATTAGTCAATTTATGATTAGTCTCATGTAAGCTCTCACCATTTCAATAATCTTGTTACAAAAAGGTTTCTGTATAATATACCACAGTGAATTAACACTGATACATATCTTCAGTTCATTTATATATTAACACTTAGACTACTTAAGACAACGTAAAGTACCATGTGAATACGAAAAGCACACACTTCCTGATGGAGTAATCATACAGGGAAGGGTAATCTTGTGATGCTCTAAGCATCTTGAGTGAGACCACTTCATGACATGTCTTTAGAATTCAGTAACTACTCTAATTTTCCCAGTCAATCACCTCTTTAGATGACAGTACTATGGCAAATATGTCCATGTATTATAGAATCTCTATCAGTCTTTGCCTAGGGAAAGGACAGAGGTGCTACTGATGGTTGAATAGACTAATGTTTAAGGACTGGTTTGGATCAGCTACAGAAGCAAATGACCTCTAAAACATGCAGCCAAGGCCTTTGCCGGCAGCTTCTTCATGAATAACTTTCATCAATTCTCTAAATAAATAAATAAATAAATAAATAAATAAATAAATAAATAAAAAGACAAACATGAATTGTTCACCTAGAATGACTTCGTAGTAATGAAACACATTACTCTGAACCAATGAGATATCTGATGACAACTCTTATCTGTGTAGAACACTAGGACTTGGAGTTCCTTAGGTGGGATATTGAGAAAAATCACATAGTATCTCTGAAGTACTTTCTAAGAAATAATGTGAAGATGTAGTTGAGATCAAAGGAGAAAATACACATAAAATACTGAGGGTCTAGCATTCACTAACAGCTAGCATCTAGTTATTGTTGTTTTAGATAAGGCCTCACAGTGGAGACCAGGCTGACTTTAACTCAGGGCAATCTTCCTGCCTCAGCCTTCCAAGGGCTGAGATTATGGATATGAGCCATCATGCCCAGCCTAACTTGTCTTAATAAGCAAGTATTGGTTTATATGATTACCAGTGGATATAGGTGGTAGTAAAAGAAACCAAAGGAATATATAGATTGTTTTAAAGTGCCTATTAGTATTTATAGGTTCCATAAGTCCTTGTCAAGATCTTATGTTGTTTAACCAGATAGATCCTGTGTTACCCACAGGATAGCCAGCTTCTTTCCAACAATGAGAACCTGTTGTGCTTTTCTGTGGTGACTTCACTTTCCCTTCAACTCATAACTACCTTTTTATGTGGAATTTAATCATGAAACTATTCAAATAAGTTATAATACAAATTCAGATGATAGTCTGTTGTTGTAAGCCACTAGTCAAATACAGTATTTAAGATTAAAAATTTAAGAAAAAAACTATTAGGAAAAAATCATTTGGACGTCTAAGAACAACCTACTTCAGATTTTACTGGGGCAGAGAGTCCATGTGACATCCTTGCTTCTGTAAATGCCTCTCATTCTGACCCTGTGCTTTAAGAACGTCCTTCTCCTTGGGATCCAAATCATCACCACCCGATACATCGACTGTGTCTTCAAAACTAGCCCATATTATGACAAGATTAAAATGAGTACACTATAATAACAGGATTTCCCTTCCATACCATATTCTCCTTTGGTAGACTATAAAATATAGGTAGGTCTTTTAATTTGAGGCTATCTATACATAAAATTACATAGTTTCTAAGATATAACTTAAGACTTTATTTAGAAATTTAACCAGGTCCAGTGATGTGTGTTTACAGTACCACCTGCCCGGAAGGCTGCGCTCAGAGAGTTAAGACCCAGAAATTCAGGTATACTTTAAGCAACATACCAAGATGGAAGGCTGAAATAGGAGGGAGGAAGGGAGGGAGGGAGGAAGGGAGGGAGGGAGGAAGGGAGGGAGGAATTAAACTGAGATAAAAATTACTAAAACTGATAACATTTTTGTTGTTGTTGTTTCTTTGGAGACAGGGTTTCTCTGTGAAACAGTTCTGGCTGTCCTGGAACTCAATTTGTAGACCAGGCTGGCATCGAACTTACCGATCCACCTGCCTCTGCATCCCAAGTACTGGGATTACAGGAGTGCACCACTACCCGGCTTATAACCAAAATCTTAACATATGATAATGTAGTATAAAATTGGGGACTGAAGGGATGAGTCAGTGGTTAAGTGCACTTTCGCACTTTCTGCTCTTCTGGGGACCTGAGCTTGGTTCCCAGCACCCAAATCAGGTGGCTCTTCTTTGATGGAATAACTCCAAACAACAATAACATTTTTGTTTGTTTGTTTGTTTGTTTGTTTGTTTTCTTGAGAAAGGGTTTCTCTGTATTGCTTTGGAGCTACCCTGGAACTAGCTCTGTAGACCAGGCTGGACTCGAACTCACAGAGATCCACCTGTTTCTGCCTCCTGAGTGTTAAGATTAAAGGCATGAACCACCAAAACCAGGCTCGAGTCTAATATTTTTAATTTTTCCAAATTATATGAAATTATAATAAATGGCATGCAATCGATTTTCATCATAATACTCATAAGACAAAAGATAAATTTACTTCATTTCACTAAAATGATCTTTATAACAATCATGAAGACATGTTAAAATCAGAATTCGTGAAGGCCACGAAAACATTTCTCCCTGTAGGATGATTTTATGTACAAAAAATGAAGACGAAATCAACCATCAGACACTCTTGTTCAAATTCATGTACACTAAATATTCTTTGTGTAGCTACAGGATTTATGAATGCTGACATCTGGTAGTGATAAACCTGAACAGGCACAATAGGGAAGGGAGACCTGTTGACTAAAACTTATAAATGTTGTCATCTATCTTCCTTCTTTCATATATACCAATATTCTACTATTAAAAAATGGAACTGTATGGTCTGGGGCTGTAACTCAGGGTGGGGTGCTTTCACAGCATGTGAGGGGCCCTGGGTTTCATCTCCTCACTGGGGGTATGAGGAGCTTTTTAAAGGCAGTTGTTATGGCAAGTACCCACAAACTTAACTTTGGGAGGGAATCACTTGATCCCAGGCGTGTGTAGGCAGCACTAGTTAGACAGCCATCTATAAAGGAACAGGCGTTGATGGTTCTCTAAGGAAATGCTTATTCAACAGTGATACTAATACTCCAAGAGTTCTCTGTGGGAATCCAAAGGCAGAAGCAGACTTAGTGAGCCCTTCCTTTTTTATATAATGCCAATTAGGAAGATTACCAGGAGACGGTCAGTCCACTGCTTCTTTTACCTTGGTAGATCCACAAACACTAGCATGCTACAAGCTCATGGTTTTCCATAGTTTCTGACAAATGCTTTTAATTCAAGTATTTCTTCTACAGCCACCAAGCAGGGAGCCTGGGATCCCTGCAACCCACATAAGGCGGAAGAAGAGAACTGACTCCACAACACTGTCCTTTAAACTCCGTATTTGTGTTCTGTGTGTGCACACACAACAATAAAAGTTTTAAATTTTTTAAATTAAACAGTTGGATAGATAAAACTCCAAAACATCAGAAAGGAGACAGAAACTATGACCAAACAGCAAACAAAAGTGTTTCTATTAAGAGAGTGAGGGAAATATGTGGCAAAAAGATCT